GTCAGTTGTGTAATGAAACATAATGGTCGCCACCTGCAGTAAGCACTCATCACATGACCACACGACCAATCACAAGCCGAGCAGCGCCACAAGCCGAGCAGCGCCATCACAACCAGCGTGGACGAAGTGCGCATGCATCGGATTCGACACACAAGCAGCCCGCATGCACCATTTTAATGATTTTGCTGCCAACCTGCTACGCTCGACAGGGTGATTCAAATCCACGTGGACCAACCATCAAATTTTCAAAAATTACTTTTAAAACATGGAAGATCTGTCGAAAAAAGGTGCTGGAACTCTGTTCCAGTGCGTTCTATGATAAAAAAAAAGCACTGTGTTTTAGTATACAAGTAAGTGTGTCTTAAGTGTTTTATATGCTTTTTATATACATGATCTCACTTACATACAAATTCTACTTAAGGACAATCTCAGGAATGGAACTCGATCTTAACCTGGGAATTGGGGGTTTATAGAATTGCAGCCTAAGGCCTAAGAATCCTTAATATTTGTCTGATGATAAGAAATTATTTTATCTTATGCAAATCATATTTTGATGCGATGGCATAAGTATGTTCTTTAACAAAATGGATTAAAAGATATTTCCATTTCTAATTTTTCCATTTCTTGTCAATACCAAACTAAAATTGAAGCCACTCTAGAATAATTTGGGGGGTATGTTTTATATGAAGTGTGTCAGGGCACAAACTTATGGCCACCTAACAGTGCCTTGGGGACCACAGGATTACTTGGAGCCCTGGCTCGAGTTCGGTGACCTCAGAGCTGGGACTTCACAGGCTGAGCCCCATCCTGAATCGGCACAGATGGTACAGAAAGGTCTGTGCCTGCTGCTCAGTGCTGCAGCGGCATGTTCAGAAGTGGGGGGGGTCCCAGCATGTCAGCCAGAGCCACAACAAAAGAAATGCCCCATCAAAGCCACACCCCAAGCTACACCTATTTCCAAGATTATGCAGCCTATGATTATAAAGTAAAAATGAGCTTTGTCACTTTGAATTTCTGTTGCGTAATGAATGCAAGATGAGGGCATCTCTTTTTGAGCTGAAACAATGGCAGCTTCTAGAAGTTCTTTCTTATTATCTTATTTATGATGAATGAATGATTTTTACAATTATATTCATACCCCACTCTCCAACCAGAAAGGCCCCAGAGACAGTTCCTGTTCACAGTTCCTGCCCACAGGCTTACTGTCTAAAAATATGACATACAAGGAGAAAGAGACAGGAAGGCAAGGGAACAAAAGGAAACTCAGGCACTAATTACCCACACTTGGAGAAACATAGGTAGTTATAGTCTCCCAAGAGCAGCAGTCTGAACTGACAATCATTTTTTGTTTCTTTTAATTTTCTGTGGCATCTGCAACCTCTGACTTTGTGTGTGCATATCTGTGGGTGACACTTCATGAATCCAGAGTTTAGGAGCTCCAGTTTCCCAAAATATCCAATAATCTTTTATTGTACTTTCATTGGATCTGCACTGAATCATGAGTAAAGTAGCCTAAATGAAGTAAAAGGAAGTAAAAGGTCATGGCTCATTTTTCCCATTCATTCCAGCAAATCTACTCCATTACAATACTTTTATTGCACTTTAGCCATTATTTTTCCCAAATAATTCTGGGGCTAAGAGTTGCTAGAAAAGACCTATTTGCCTCATAATTCCCAGTCAATCTCTCTTCCCCAGGAACTCTGGAAACTGTGTGAGGAAGAGGTGCCCACTAATTACACTCAGAACCCTTGGCAAACTTCCCTAGGATTCCTCGGGGAAGTAGAATTAAAGTATCCGAAATGCATGCTGTGAATGTGGCCTAAATCTGAAAACAACCCTTTATGTGGCCTTCTGAACTTGGTTTCAAGGCCTCAGTTGCAGATTGCAGTATCTGGGCAGATCCAGGTGTGGGGAGGTCTGTCAGGTATTATAGTTCCAAGCCATGGAGGGCTTTATAGGATAAACCCAGGACCTTGAATTGGGTCTGGAAGCATACATGCAACCAGTGCAAAGGGGCCTAGCTCATCTCATATGTTCAGGTCTCCTGAGCACAGATTAGTCTGGATTTTGCACAAGCTGCATCTTCTAAACAATCCAGGGCTAGAATAGAGAGCTGCAAGGCAAGGCAAACAAAACAAGCAAGACAGAGACCCCGAGGGTGAGGGAGGGGAGCCCATTCCATTGTGTCTCTGCAAAGATGGGCTCTCTTTTCTACCCTTGGCATTTTCCCCTACGGCATTCATCTCCCACATAATCCAATAAAGCCACTTCATTCCATTTGAATGTATGGGGTGGCAACACTGCACCAAGATGCAGGAATTTCCTGTGATTTCCGACTGGTTCAGAAAACCTTTTCCTGTTGCACACACAGGTGTATACACACACACAGTAATTTCCAAATTAATCCAATTTCTGAGAGTTTTCCCATCCCTAAATCTAATTCTTGAACAAGTTTTTCACAAGAACAAAATTTGTTTTTGTGTTTTGTGAGTGGATGGTGGGTGTGGGCTTAAAGGTGTGGGCATTCCCCCATGGTACATTTCGTCTGCAGAATGTAATATGGAGTGCACTCAAACACCTTTGTCCACACCCGATGAGGTTCTCTTTACCTCTGTCTCATTTTTATTTGTCCATTTTACGGGAATCACTTTATTCCAGCTCTAGGCTTTAAAGCCAGGTGAATGCCTGCAGCAGCTCCAAACTCTTTTCCTTGGAATCCTTCTTGTCAACATGTGGGACTCACAGACCTCCACAGGAAATGACAGTGCAGATTGACTTCGAGGCTGCACTCTAATCTGCAGTGCATCCATCTTGTGCTGGTGTTCAATTTCTTACACTTCCAAAAGCACACGGAGGTTCAAAAGGTTATCTGGCCAGCATATGCTACAAAAATCACTGGGTGCCATCATCACAAAAATGAACAATTTAATGTTGCAGGTGTGAAACAAGATGACTTTGCATTGCACACCCCATTCAAATTAAGAAGTATAAAAGTAAAAACTGAGAGTGGGAGAGGGAACACCCCCCCCCCACCTCGCTGCTCAGGGATTCTCTCTTTGGGATGAGTTTCCGTACTACCATCCTTAGTGCTTAAGGCTTGCAGAACAAGAATGAGAATTCTTATCGAGGAACAAGTCCCACAGGTATTTTTCTACTCGTGTGGCACTGCAGCTCTTCTTGACTGGACATGTGCAGTTGCTACTTCATTTAAAGTGTTGCTATTGCTGACGTCTGCATGAGGAGGTGCACCGGCAGCTGCCACTTGCTCCATCCCGATGCCCCCACTATGCAACCCTGGCGTTGTGCATTTGCGTGCATGTGTGACAACACGAATGAAAAATGGTCATGGCCACCCTGGAAAGAGGCACCAGGAGAGAGATGCTCCACACTCTCACATAGCACTTTCCAAAACATATTCCACAGTTCAGCTCAGCACCAGGTAAGGAGTGTTCCAGTGCTCCCCTTGGTGCACATTGCATCAAGACCTTGTGAATGATTTGGCCACTAATTAGTTGCACAGTTGTCACCATGGTTGATTTTTCTATCTCGAATGGCAAATGCCCTCTCTTCATATATTCATTTAGAAAGGCCTGTAGGGGCTGCGAGAACAAGAAAGGGCTAATTCAGTCCTCCTGAAGATACCCACAGACCAGCCTTGCTTTCAAGCCAACTTGCAATGAGCCTGACTCTGAAGTGGTCCAACTTCATCCCGAGTAGGCTTGGGACACAGGTACAAGGCCCATAACTGTCCAGGGTTCCCATTCCCATCCTGTAAAGCAGGGGTCCCCAACATATGGACCCTTGTGGGGATTTCAGAAACTGGTCTGGGTGCCACCATAAAATGCCTAATAAGTGGGCCACTGCTTTGGCATCTACCAGTCATATCTTAGGTTGCATCTTATTCCACAGAAACTTTAGAATCCACAGACACCACATCATCTCTGTAATAGCAGCTAATTTCTGGTGGTGCAATGCAGCTGGTGCTTCTTTTAAGCATGTGTTTGGGCAATGCCTCATAGTTGCTTTATTTGGGGAGGACGTTATTACATAGATAATTTTTCAATTGGAATAGACTTTAATATTCACTGATGTACAGACTTTTAAGTTATTTGCCTGCTTCATGGAGATTACCAAATGGTTAGTATAAATGGATTCTAGGTGCCCTTTTGACAATTAAAAGACTGATACTGCACCATTGGAAGAATAGACATTTCTTATAATGCAATGGATAGAGGGCCTTACAACACTTTAAATATTTTAATGGATTGCATATAGCTGTCACCTTCATAGTGATACATATTTAGATATTTGGTCCACTTTTGTTGCACTGAAGAACTAAGAGCAATCTTGAACAGGCATTGATGAAATTTGGGAAAGTATTTATTATGCAAGATTGCTTTCATTTTTACAGTCAACAAAAATTCTGTGGAAAGTAAATGGAACAAGATATGAAATAATTAATAGTGTGTTAGTATTAAAAGATTTCTTGCAGCCTTCTTCCTATTTGTCCAAATCAAATTAAAGGGAATGCTGTGCTTCAATTCCAGAAGTTACCAGTTAATAACTATCATCAGATTCCAGTCTGAATCTATAGTATTTAGCCAATTAACATCTAAATCACTTAGCAAAAGTTTGAATTCATATATGCCAAAGAGTAATCTTCAGTGCCCATTTTGCTTAGAAATGAAATTTAAGGTAAAATTAGAATTCACTGGAGAGCACAATTTTCAACACTTAGTGCTGAAGGATTTAAAAACTTGCAATATAACTGAATAATAAATTTAAAACAGACAAAGTGGACACAGAAGGTCATACCTTATTCACTACACATGACCCTTGGAATTGCTGTGGTTTTGTAACAACAAGAATCAGTAATTTTCTAGCACGAGATTTTTGTCAGTTTTAGAGAAGAAATATATGGTTTTCTATATGCAGACCTCCCATCCTTTTTAGTAAAGAGCCATCCTTTCAACTTAAATTATCACAAGATATACATATAATTATACAATGTCTGTTGAGCATTCGCAGGTTGCCTGACAAAGATCGTACATGAAGCTTTCATCACACTTGAACGTCTTGTGCATTGCTTCACATGCATAATGTTTATTGGTATACTTGCATGGGTTGGCTGAAAGGAATGAAACCAAAATACAGTTAGAAACAAGAGACAAAGAAAAACATTTTTTTGAAATGAAATGTTTCCCTCTTTTGAGGAAAGAGGGGAAACATGGAAGAAGGGGTGAACAGTCTGCTGATCAAATTCGCAGATGACACTAAAACTGGGGCAGTGGCCACAACTGAGGAGCAGGTACTCCAGATCCAAAAGGATCTGGACAGACTATGGAAGTGGGCAGGAGACAACAGGATGGCGTTCGATGTGGATAAGTGCAAGATCTTGCACTTGGGGCATAGGAATAGGTGTCATAAGTACAGGTTAGGTGACAAGTGGCTGGAGAGCAGCACTTGTGAAAGGGACCTTGGGGTGCTGGTTGACTGCAGGCTAAACATGAGTCAGCAGAGTGATGCGGTGGTTAAGAGGGTGGTTATTACAGGTAGTCCCCAAGTTATAAATGACTGGGTTATGAATGACCATACTTACAAAACTTATATGAATATCGCTTACAAAAAGCTGTGAATCTCTCTAGGGAACTATGCAACATGTTTGGTGGTGCGTCATTGGTGGCAGCCTAGTTCCCTAGAGTATCCACAGCTTTTCATTCTGGGTGTTGGCTTGAGCATACCCAAGCCAGTTGTGTTTCAGGTCATGTGTAGGGTGTGTTGTTCCCCTTTGGTTTTTCTGTAGCATTTGCTGTTGTCACCAGGTCCTCAGCTACAAAGCCATTTAGGGTGAGAAAAAGAAAATGGCTGCAGAAACTCTCTCTCTTCAATACCTGTGGTTACTTTATTATTACTGTATTATTATAATTATAACAATGCTGTATTGCATTTAGATGTTTTAGTGAACATGGAAGTGCTTCTTAAGCATTTTATTTGCATAGAATGGTAAAATATACACATACACTAAGACAACATTAGGCTTACTCATGTGATCTGACTCATATACAAATTTGACTTAAGGACATCCCAAGAACGGAATGCATCTGTAACTCGAGGACTACCTGTACTCACAGAGGTGTAAATACCCTGAGCCCTTTCTGTTTTATGAAATGCTGCAGTTCATAGGGTTCCCCTAAAGGTTTGTTTGCTCCCACGGTAGTTCATTCCAAATACAGCCTTGTTTGTGGGCACTGACAGTGGTCTTCAAATTCCTTTGGGAATTTGTGTTCAGCTTATACACCATTTTAATTCTGTATAGCTGCAATGGTGGGATGCGTGATCCAGATAAGCACAAGACTTTTAAGGTAGAGAGTAAGCCCCCTGTGCCTGGTCTAGAGTGAAACTGGGGTATGAGAGAAAATGTTGCTGCTACTCTTTGCCCACAGAGGGTCAATACTTGATATAGCTTTAGGGTGGAATCTAATTTATGTTCCTGTTCAAAGTCCTACAATTTCTCCAGCCAGCATTGCTGATTTAGGAATTCTGGGAACTGTAAGATTTTCTTTTCTTTCTAAACATACACTGTATGCACTCTTTGTCTGAGAAGGCATAGTCACAGAGAATCTACAGAAGAGAACAAGCTTCACAAGACTTTCTGAAGATTACTCACTATCCAGAGGAGTTGTTTGATATTATTAGTAACTTACTGCAAAGTTTATCCTCGCAATGTTGAGGACAGTCTGCACATGATGGGCCTTCTTTGTAGGGTGTTGTTATTTTCTCCTGATTGTTCCCACTGAAATCACAAATGAATGCAGTGCTGTGATGATCAAAGTGTGGTTCTTAAAAGAAAGATATGGATAGCCTTGAAGGGTTATGAAGGACAAAATCCTGCAAGAGGCCTGTCTGATACAACTACCTACCTGAAGAACAGAAATTGTGTGTGTGTGCATGGGGGGGGGGTATGTTATCAACTTAATGTGCTCCTGGCTCTTAGGGAATGAATTTCTTCCCTTGAGGCCAAGGGCCCTGACTTCGAGAAGATGAGGCAGCCAGTAAGGTTTGTGGATGAGGCCTTAGGAGAGGCTATGGCAGCATCCCACTCCCAAAGTGGCATCTTTTCTGCTACATTGGAGTATTGGGGTCCTAGAAAGAGGGAAATCTTTTCTAAGGGCTGAGTCCAAATTTAGCCATACTTAAGAGTATGCCCACTGTCCTAGGGACAGGTGAGAATCTCATTTAGTTCATGTTTCGAGAGGAACTTGCCAACACTTGCAAATTTCTTCATAAATAGGATGGCCAGAAACAATTCAGTTGTGTGAGAAACCAAAGCTGCCAGATTTCTTTATCCACTCTGAGCTTTGAGCACCTCATTCTTAAGAATTACAGTCAGAATCTCTCTGCATTCTACAATATTTGTGGTATTCAGTAAGGGCAGCTACCTTTTAACCAGTTGTACGGCAGACAGGTACAATGCTCTTCTCTCCACACTGAGAATACCTGTTCCTACTGAATTCCAGCTGATGCAAGGTCAGGGAGAATTTTGATAGGACTTTACCAAAATTTGCAAATGTCTTATATACAGAATGGGAAAAATCTTGAGATTTCGACAAAATGAATGTGTGAGAAAGGGAAATGGAAAAATTCATCCAATTCTGAAGTAAAGGGTGCCATTAGAAAGAACCCATTCCTTGGGATATGAACTGAGATATTCTAGCACCAAGGATATGCCTTGAGGAATGTGGGTCATTCCTAGAAGTGGGTAATTTGATCACTAGAAATGCAGGTGTGTTTAGGACAGGCATTTGTAACGCACAAGGGCTTGCCAGCTAGGTGACAGACATCATTTTGATTTATATAGGTTGCTAGATAGTGCTGAAGTCAGCACCAGAGCATGGAAAGTATCATCATACAGTCCTAGAAGAAAAGTTTAGGTCATTGGTAAGAAATCTCCAAGGGACCCATCTTCAGAATGTGACTTTTCCAGCTGAGAGGGCCAGGCTGTGAGTGTGAGTGACTCAGTTTGCACAATCATGATGGCAGACATGACAAAGAGGTACAACTTTTTGATATCTCAGCACCATAATCCTATGGCCCCAGCTGAGTATCTATGGGGCCCTGGGATTTCTCAGAAACAGCTCTAGCTTCATTGCTGGGACTCCACACTAGGAGTAGCTGCTCCCTTGCAGCTGGTACAGAAAAAGACATGGCTGGCTACATCCCCAAGATTGCAAAAGAATCCCTTTTCTGCTCCTCCCGCTCTTCATAGGATGCCAGTGATCCTCCAGGTTCAGAGGGTGATGAGCATCCTCACAGGACGACTGCACCCTAAATGACTCTGCCATAGAACATTTGGTTATGGAGGAGGTGATTCTGGACTTGGTTCCCCATTTTGCAGTGTCTTTAGGAAAAAAGGTAAAAGATAGCATGATAGAGTTTGACAGAATCATGAATAGCTTGAAGCAGATTTGTTGGTTACTATCTGTGAGGCTTGCACTGCTTCTAGCATGTCCATTCCATTTCTGCAGCATGTTTCAGAAATCCACATAAAAATTCATACACATTTTATGCAGTTTCCTCAAAAATACAATTTGCTCCCCTCCAAAAACATTGCCTATTTTATTCATTTACAGTGGGACCTTGGCTCTCAAACGTAATCCGTTCCATGACTCTGGTCGCGACCCAAATTAGTCATGAGCCAAGTCAAATTTCCCCGTAAGGTTCAATGTAAATAAGGTTAATCCGTTCTGTAACTTTTTTTTTTTTAAATCACAAAAATTTAAACCAAAGTGACAAAGAGCAACAAAGATTGTGGCCATCTCCCCCCACCGCGATCACACCCGTGTTCCCTGCCCAAGCGCGACTGTGACCGTGGCCATGGGGGGGGGGGCCGTGATCACGGTCGCACTCAGGCAGGGAACACAGGCACGATCGTGGCCATCTCCCCCCACCCCGAGCATGATCGTGGTTGCACTCATGCAGGAAAGACGGGCGCGATCACGATCATCATCCAATGAGGAGTTCACAACCTGAGGCAAAATTTTTCTGAAATTTCTGTTCGCGACCCGATTTGGTTGTGAGCTGAGGCGTTCATGAGCTGAGGTACCACGGTGCTTATCTGAGTTCTATCCCATCCTTTTTCGTGGAGGAACGCCAGGCAGCTTACATAAGCCTCCTCTCTACTTTATCTTCAGCACAACCCTACAAGGTGGCTTGGTAGCTTGCAAAGCCATCCACTAAATTTCATGACCAAGTGGGGACTAGAACTCAGATCACCCGCCTTATTCCCAATGCTGTAACAACTACACTGTGCTGGCTCGATACGCCATTTTGTACACAAGTTTGCCTATTGTATGCATTTTTGTGTGCATATTTTAATTGGAAACTCTGGTAAAACTTTGGGGAAAAGGTTTTTGTTTTCCAATCAATTTATGTATTAATTTGGGAAGTGCAAATCAGGTTTGTTCGTGTTAAGGAATGAACCAACAAAGTTTTCCTCCATCCCTTGTGTGACAAGGTACATTGAGAGAGGTGTGGCTTACCTCTGTTTCTTTTAATCCTAGAACCTGGATTCATCCAATGAAGTTGAATGGAGGGAGATGGAGCACAGGCAAAATAAATCTCTTCTTCTTATAAAGAAGAGGTGCAGAACCTCAGCCCTGAGGTGAACTCTGGGCCACTAGGGATCCTCATCTGTTTCTTGGAGCTTCCTTTGGCGACTTTCTTGCCTCCAACCACCAATCATCTGGTGGCTTTCTGGCTGTCGTACAGTTTTGTCTCCCACTGTAAAGGGTGTCTTAAAGTTGAGTCAGGGGTAGCAGGTGCTTTAAGTAAAATATAGGCAGATGTTGGGGGATGAACCTTTTGTCTTTGGGCCTGCCCACGCTCTCACGCCGAGCTGAAAACAGTCATAAACTAGCAATTTGATACTGGGTTGGAGGTCCATCATGAAAGTAGTACCCCATTCTCCTGCTGGAGCTGCAGATTAGCCAATGCATTACTTTTAACCCATAGCTCTATTGAAATGAAAGAAGCAGTCTCAGGTCGGAAAAGCACAGACGGCACCTGGCACTCCGAACATCGTAAATTATGCATTCAGAATGGATACTTACCCAGGGCAAAAATGGCACGCATACATGAAAGAGAAAGTGTTCTGTGGGCAGTAGGCAAGTGCACAGCCAACCATATGTGAATTGTACCAAACGATCTATTAACATAATGGGGGAAATATGTTAAATCAGGGATGCTTTAAATCATAGAACACCATAATCGTAGCCTTTTAATTTGTGTTCTGCATTATACACAATATGTTGTGTCCAAAAAGGTTGAAAAACAAATACAATAAGCATAATTATAATTAGATGACAATAATCATTGACTGACTTACTGTTCCTTTAAAGCAGAGCAAGATTTAAAGAACTGCAAGGCATGCCAGTATATCAGCGACCACCTGTTCAGTACCAATTTTGATACATCCTTGCATGAAACGAGTACACCTCTTAGTTCAGTAAGAGCACAGCCCAGTGGGGATGCCTGTGACCCTCTGAATTCGAAGGATTATGGGCATCCCACGCACGGCAGGAGGCTCACACCTCTTCCCCTGTAGGCACTGAAGAAGATGGCTGGTGCTTCGGAACAGGAGGGAGGCTGAGGAGCTGCCAGGTCACGTCGGACCTGGGTAGGGACAGTGTCCCCACACCAAAAGGGCCTTTCTGGAGAAGTGACACAGTTCTTTCCACAAACTCTGTGAGTTTCTAGGAGGGAGATGCAAGTGTAAATTCTCAGCTAGGAGGTCAGAGCAGTTTTCTGACCTCGTGGCTAGGATGTGGTCACTGATCCAGATGACTTAAAAGGGAATGCAGAGCATTTTCTGGAGGATAAGCCTTGATTACTACAAGCAGGGTAGATTTGATTTAAATTACCTTGATGTAAATGATTTAATTGATCATGATTTAAGTCACTAGTCAGTAAAGCTAGATTTAAATCATGGTTTTCTTCATAATTTGCAGACATGGCTGCCTTACCCATAGGTAGAAGAACTTCATTAAAATATTCCCAAAGTGGGTCTCTTTCATGGCCTGCTGCCATTATAGTTTTTCTCCTTCAGGGAAAGAATAATATGACAAACCTCAAGGTATACACAAAAAGATCCAAGGACTTGTGGAGTATTCTCCTCAAAAGGGTTCATTTTCATTTTTACTGCTTGCCTCTCCCTCCTCACACTTAACTTCTTGCACACATCTATTCCACTCCCAGCAATCTTCTATTCACTGAATATTTTGAAACTTAGCACTTAAGAGTCAAGGGGTTGATTCTGTGTACATGGATTTGCAAAGGAACAATCTGATTAAGGTCTTTCTCTCAACTCTATGTTTATTTTGTAACATTTTACTGTGAATTGCAATCTTAAGATCTCTGCAGACACAATTTCATAGCATTGAAAAGTGTAAAATAAAGCATCTGTGATAATATAGATAGAAAAATTGCCCAATAATCTTACAGAAGCCTCTGAAAGAGCATGACATTTTGAATTGATTACTGGAATTCATTTACCAAAAAAATTAAACTGCATGAATATACCATTGCCTTTATATATTATAAAACTCCAAACACCTAAGAAAAGTAAAAAGTTGCTAAAATAGCATGAAAATGTAGTGATCATTTCTATTCTTTCCACCATTTTAGTAGTTTTGTCCCAAAATATCATCTTACAAACATGCCGGATGAAGATGGGATTCTTATTCATACCTGAGTATAAGTATAAATGTTTTTCTTTGGATCTGTTGGTCCAATGCCGTACTTGAAATAAGTCTTTGTACTGATCCATGTTGCAATGACTTTTGACCAGCTCATTGCAATCTTGATTTGTGCTAAACTCTCACCACATGCAAAATCTGAAATAGGAAGGAAATGTTTTTGTATATGCCAAATTGCTTAGTCAAAATGCATTGGTGTTAGTCATTATATTGATCCAAGAATTTGAGCCACTATGGTATTTAGACCTAATCAAAAAATCCCTACACAAATAGTAGCAGAATATATTTAAATTAAAACTATATATCTGATTAGATACTATTAAAATAATGTGATGTTGAAGTAAGTGAGTGCAAAATAACCATCCTCTTTGTGACAGCCTTTTAAGTACTTGTAGAGTACAATCATACCTCTCCTCAGTCTTCTCTTCTCAAGGCTAATCATACCCAGTCCTTTCAATCACTCTTCATAGGGCTTTGCCCCAGTCTCTGAACCATCGTTGTTGCCCTCCTCTGAACCCTTCCAGTTTGTCTGCATCTGGACATGGTGTCCCAGTATTACTTAGCCTAACCAATACTGAGTAAAAGGGAACTAGTACTTCATGGGATTTGGAATTGAAACTTCCATTAATACAGCCTAAAATAGCATTTGTTCTTTTTTGCAGTCACATCACATTGATGATTTATATTTAGCTTGTGATCTACAACAATTTCAAGATCCTTCTCACTTGCAGTATCCTTGAACCAAGTATTCCCCATCTTCTAACAATGCATTTGGTTTCTTTTTCCTAGGTGTAGAACTTGACATTTGTCCCTATTCAGTTTCATTCTGTTGCTTTCAACCCAGCACTCCAACCTAGCAAGATAATCTTGAATCTTCTTTCTGTCTTCCAGGATATTGACTATCCTACCAAGTTTTGTGTCAGCTGCAGATCTGCTAATCATTCCCTGGACTTCTTCATCCAAGGCATTAATGAAGAGCACTGGGCCCAGGGCTGAACCCTGAGGTACTCCACTTTTTACATCTCCCCTGTTTAAGAAGATGCCATTGATGAGCACTCTCTGAGCCTGATTCTGTAGCCAACTGTGGATCCATCTGATAGTTGTTCTATCTAGCCCACTTTGAGCTAGGTTGTTAATCAGGATATCATGGGGCACTTTGTCAAAAGCTTTGTTGAACTCAGGATAGATTATGTGCACAGCATTCCCATAGTCCATCAGGGAAGTTACTCAATCAAAAATGAAATCAGATTAGTCTGGCAGGATTTGTTCTTGAGAATCCACATTGGCTTCTCACTGCATTGGTGATCACTGCATTGCTTTCAAGTTGTTTGCAGCCCAAGTGCTTTATCATTTGCTCCAGAACTGACGGCACTGGCAGCAGTTGACAGGCCCAGGTTGATTCATTCTCTCCCTGTCAATCTTCCTGAAACTGGTGGAGACGAAATTTGTTTCTTTGCCAACCCCAGCCTTGAAATAGTTCCAGATAATTAGTCTCATTCAAGACTGTGTGGAGCAGGTTTGAGTGGACCCACTCAAAGAGCTTGCCCTGGGAGGGAACATTTCCTACTTTTCTACATTTATTAGGAACTTCCAGATCTAGAAAGGGTTCTTTAGAGTAGTCCTTAAACTCCCCTAAAGCAGATCTCCCAAAGGGGGCAACCCCCTCTGGTGTAATCCCCTTTGCAAGCATTGCCTCTGCAAAATTGCCACCACCCACCACATCTTGGAATAGCAGATAAAGGCATACAGGGTGGATTCAGACTATAGCAATGAATGAGTGAGCCCAATCTACCTTTAAAAACAGCAAGTACAGGGACTCACATTTTCCTTAAGACCACAGAGAAGGTGATCAGATGCAGGGGTGGACATACTGCTTATACTTTTCCCTGCTTCAGACTCTCCCTCTCCTTATAAGCCGCCTCCCACCCAACAGCAAACTCCTTTTGCTGTGCAATCTCATGGAGTTCTTTAGTTCACTTACCACTAGTAGTTCTCGCTTCCTGGGGACTGTTCCTAAAACGACATTGACTGACCCATTTCTTGGCATTCTCACTAGCTTTCTTACTCCATTTCTTAGCAAAGGAAAAAATGCATATTTATTACATTCATTACATCATCAACAATTCAATTATATTGTATGCCAGACTGCCATGGCAGACCATGTACAACACAGCTCACAAAATCTTCTCCTGAACTTCCGGATGGCCCCTGTGTAAACGTAATGCTGGACTGGATGGGACTGTGGTTTGATCCAGCTTGGCTCTTCTTTGATTTTTTATATTTTGATTTAGGGTGCAATCCTATAGCCTCCCAACATTCTCTAGGAAGCCACAGGGTTATCTGGAGACCCAGCTCCAGGTCCTGCAAACTTCATCTGAACCCCTCACAGCCAGAGCAGAAGGAACTGTGCCAGCTGTTCCCCCTGACCCTGAGGTCACAACTGAGTCTCGGATGTGGGAGGGAGATGGAGTGTGCTGTCTAATCAGGGCCCCAGGCACTTTCCCCCACTCCCCACCACCACATCTAGATAGCTGAAAACAACTATCTATTTAAATTTTATTTATTTGAAACTTTTATATGCCGTCCCCACATGCCTCGGCATCTCAGGACGGCTTACAATATAGAATTAAAACAATAAAACAGTATCAGAGAAAATACACGGCACACGGCACAGTAGAAACGGCTGCCACCACACCTCATTCTGGGTATAGGATACACATGAGCCTCTGAATTGGGAGGCATATGTGCACTGAGGATGTGGGTCATAGGACCACACCTTTTATTCATTCACCTTTTATTCATTTCATTTCCCGACTAGTCAATAGGTGAAGCTCTCCGGACAGTTCGCAACAATTAAAACCATATAATACAGCATAAGATACCATTTAAAAGTTTGAAATGATGGTATAACATCAAACTCAAAATAAAACCCAGCAGCAATGCAAAGATTTAAAATATAGTAGCATTTTAAAACAATTGAAACTGAAAGATGCCTGAAAAAATAAGATCTTCACCTGGCATTGGAAAAAACACAATGTACCCACTAGTTGAGCCTCACTGGGAAGCTCACCATAAACATCAGCACTGTTTATATAAGAAAATGCAAGACCCCAAGATTATCCACAAGCAATCATAAAAACAAACTTTGAATAATCATACATTTTAATAAATAAGACTCAACAATTCCCTAATTTATGCTGGAACAATTTATGCTGGAAAAACAAAACCACCATCCAAATAGCAGCCAGAATAACACAACTTGCCCATGACTTCTCTCAACAAATCCTGAACTCTGATGATCAACAGTTACCTGCTATCTCTAGCAGAAGGAGCTGCCTTTGGGGCCAGGCCTCTGTTGGGCCCCACATTCCCAGGCAAGCTGGAAATGAGAGCAGGGACCACATCGGCAGGGCCCCAGATCATGACTGGCACAGTAATGATTGCAAGATGGAAACCTCAGAGGCGCACAGATCACCCTAGTCCGATACTTGGTGGGAAAAGGAGCCTGAATCATGATCCCCAACATCCTTTCCCAAACAGTTAATTCCTAGGAATTTAGCAAATTAAAAGGAACTCTGCAGCCATTGCTCCAGCTGCTGGATTGGAGGTGGGAGCCCCAAGTGCCATGGGGGGTTGCACATGGGGGGCTCTCTATCCAGCTGGCATCAGAGGATTTAGCACAGGATGCAAAGAGAGCCTTGGGGCAGCCTGCAAACCCTGCAACTGGGCATCCTTTCCTTTGAAATACTTAACCCCAGTGATTTTATCCATTCCTGCGCATGATCCAATCAGGTTTAAGCACTTTAAAGGCACAGTCATCCCAGCGGGAGAAAGTTAAGTGAGTGCTTAACCCTTTACCAATGAATTAAATGCTGGAAAGTGCTTCTTTTTGCCTTGATTGTACCAGGATATCCCTCAGAGGATATCTTGGCAAATGGCAGTTTCCTAACAGCAGATTCGCTGCCAGGCCATGACAAAATGAAAAAGAACACAAACCCCAGGCAGCACCGAGCAAATTAGAAGGACAGCCTGCCAGCCAGGGTCTGGACCACAATGAACTTTGCTCAGTGAAGAACAGACCCAGTCACCAGTTTGCAGTTCTAGGCTTGTGGACAGTTAATCTGCATGTGATAGAGCAACCCAAGCTCGGTGGAGGAGAAAATGCTCTGCATGCCAAAGCCTGTAAGTTTGATCTGTAGCATCAGGCAGGGCAAGGAAAGACCCTGCTCTGAAACCCAGAAGAGCTGCTGCCAGTCAGTGTAGACAGTATTGGGTCAGATGGGCCAAGGTCTGGCTGAGTATATGGCAGCTTCCTAGGATGGAAATGGTCACTTTGGGCATATTCCCACAGAAAAGAAAGTCATCAATGCAATACAGAAATCAATGGCATGAATGGAAGTGCACCGAGAGACACTGAGGGTGCCCGGGACAGAAGCAACAGCAAAGATGGTGCAAATACTAGCAGTCCCTGGTGCAGCTTCTCGTCAAGGGCATTCCACGGGGACTCTGGCTGCTACTGCTGCTGGGCTGCCCCTTTTCCAGGAATCGATGTTGGGCCAATGGGTCAGATCCTAAATCCTCAAGAGGGGCAAATGTGGCATGTTGTGAGCACAGCCTTGCCCAAGATATCAAAACTAAGCATCATCCTAGGCAGTAGTGAGGAGGGGGAGTTCCGGCATCAGCCAGGCCTCTGCCAAGGCCCCTACACAGCAAAGACCCTTCCCTGCCTGCAGCAACTTCCAACTTCCTCCTGCGCCATCTCATCACAGCCAGCTCCTCCTCCCTTTCCAGCACCTATTGCTCAGTGCATAAGCTGCCACCTCATTTACCTTTTGCAGCAGCTGATGGTGAGCATGAGAACTACTGCTGCCTGGCTTGGATGCCTCTGCATTGATTGTCAGAAGGGGTAGCAATGCGCCAGCAGCAGGCAGCAGTGACCACACCTTCAGAAGCAGCTGGTCCGGGGAGGGGAGGGGACAGCTGACTGAAGAGTAGGCGAGTGGCACCCCACTTCAGTAGTGGTTATAGTTTCATCTCTGAAGTCCAGGAAACTTGGAGTCACCCTGGGCAGAAGACCAAGAAAGCACTGGTCCAAGAAAATGGGCTTGGATTAGGATGATCAGGATGAGAAGATATGCAAGGATCTAGAATTAATAAAGAAAACAGAAAATAACAGACATGGGGGGAGAGAACGGGCAGATAAATGCAGCCAATAATCAGCTGGAACTCCAGAGGTGAGGAAGGCTCAAGTCCACATATTACCAGCTTACTTTATGGATCATTTTAATATATACTCAGTATATATTATATATAATCTATTGTATATATAGGACATGCTGGTCCGAAGGGCCACAGTTGTGGCCCTGCAGCGTGCATGTGCGTTCTGTCCCAGAGCTATGAGGCTGGGAGAGGAGAGAAGAGGGGATGCCTGTAAATGCTGCAATGAACCTTTACAAGGTCAGCAATTGGCACCTTACCATTTTCAACATATTGCTGGCAGGAGGCGTCACATTTCTCCGTATGGAATTCAGTGCCTCAAGAATTTCCTCCTGTGCCTCTGCAGACAGGTCACTTATTATAGCTGATTGATCCTGAATGTCAAAAAAAAGATGTTATGCCAGAGGTTCTTTTGATGTGAAAAAAACCCCTTCCATTATGCACAGTAGCAATATTTACATTAGGATCACATTGTGACAAAAAGGTGCTACGTAATCTTTGCTGTTTGCTCTTTGTAATCCAACCTGAAACAAATACTGTAAGAATTGTCTCATGAATTGTTTAATCTGAGAGATATCCCATAAATTGAGATCTCTCGATCCCTTAATCTGGGGGATTTGGACCCACTGCAGGGCTTATTCAACCAGGTGGCAAGATGAAGCAGACTGCAGCAGCTGGTGGATTTGAGGGGCAAGACACCACTGCCACGTCTGGAAAGACACCAGAAGAAAGGCAGGAATGGACTTAATTGTGAAAATGGGGACGCTGGTCAACTGGCACTGCAACCACATGGTCCACACTTGTGCTATGGCGAGTCCACAAGCTTCCACCAGTGCATCCCTCCTCCATCAAGGGCCCCACCACAGAAATGCTCCTGTGCAGGGGTCAGCTGCCATTCACAAACGCTTCAGAGAGCAGCCCCTGGGAGCTTGCTGTTGTGCATTCACGATGCAGCATGGCTGCAAGGGCACCAGGGCTTGCTCCCTCTTTGTTCCTCAAGAAAAACTACATTTTATCCCTACCTAAAAGCACTTCAAAGGCTGTCACAAAGGGGAAGGTCAAGCTTTCTTCACTGATACCAGAGTATAGGACATGGAATAATCAGTTCAGCTTGCAACAACCCAGATTCAGGCTAGACATCAGGAAAAGCTTCCTCACTGTTGGAGCAATACAACAGTGGAACCAGCTGCCTGGAGGGGTGGTGGGCTCCCCCACACCAGAGACAGTCAAAAGGAACCTGGACAGCCATCTGAGTGGGATGGCATAACTTGGTGTCCTGCTACAGCAGAGGGTTGGACCCAGTGGTCTTCCTGCCCCCTTCCAACTCTACTATTCTATGATTCTAAAACAAGGATATAAAATAATTCCATAAAAATACAAAAAGACACCTGTTTATAGGTTTTAAATGTAGAGCTTGTTCCATACTTACATGACAACACAAAACCTGCTTTTGTAACATGTATATGCACACAGATATTCAAGAAAAGGGGATGTGGCAGGAAGCTGCAGGGGAGCCCCACTGCCCGCCATCCACAACCAGAGGGAAGTATCAGGACATCCTGGAGCATGCTGCCATTTGCCTGGGGCAGCAATAACCCTCTGCTGGAACTAAGTGAGCACTGAATGGTCAGTGCTCTGCCTGAACCAAGTTTTGGCAGATGTGCAGCAGATGATACGGAATAGTTTCCTGAAGTCGGAGAGCTCGATATCCTCTGGTTAAGAGCCTAGCGACAATATCACTCTGTGAATATCACTCTGTCTACCTTCTTTAAATATCCCTGGCTGTTGAAGACTTGATAAGGGAAGAAATGTTAAAAAGCCTGAAATCAGTAAAAATAACAGGAAAATATTTCTAGGAATTGTGGTCTACAATTGTCAAATAATATACTCTGAAGAATTTCTGCTGCCTGTATGGCAAATTATCTGAAGAGCGTCGGTTTTTCCTGATTTTGCTTTTTCTGCTCCAAATAGGCTCCTACCTCTCCTAAAGACTGTTGGAACATCGCAGGCAAGAACAGGAACACGGTCAGAAGGAGCATTTCTAGAGGAGCAAAAACAGTTTGCAAATTTAATTAGGATATTAATCTGCATTTGCCAAGGAAAAGTAACAGTATTCTAAGTACCTTTCTGGAGTTTCACTATTGAATTTCTCTGTCAGCTTCCTTTCCTTGTTCCCAATACTTCTGCATGGATAGTCTAGTGAGTTTTGCCTTGGAGAAGACTACTTTCACAATAAGCAATTTGATATGTTATATGTAATATACTCAACAACCAGCATGGGTGGTTGAAGGGATGCTGAGAGTTGTAAGACCTTTTTATGCCTAAGCATCCCTCAATGGTTACAGTTATCATCATTTTTTTTCCAATTGTAGAACAATAATCCGTGCTTGTCTTTGTCAAACTATTTAATCACTTTTCTTGGGAAATATCTTAAGTAACAGGATAATAGCATGAATGAAGTAAAGTTCATGGCCCACTACTTGATTAATTGTCCCATACTAGGGATAAATGAATTGTTAGTTTTGGAAAAAAACCTTCAAACATCTGCTAGGAATATGAACTCTTGCTTTGAAAAGCAGAATTTTTGTTTAGATAAAGTCTTTTCTACAGTACCTTCCACACTGTGTCCTTCTTGGCTCTTTGGAATGGCTGTGGGAGTTGGAGCTAAATTGCACTGAAAATATGTTTATATATAGCAAGAATGCTTCCTGTTCTGTAAATGACCTCTGGCCAAGATATAAAAAATAATAGTAAGTCTTGTGCCTTTTCAGGAAATATTTGCTTCCAGTGTTGCCTTTTCAACTCTGATGCACTCTCTCTCTGTATAGTTCCCTATGTTAAAGTGCAGAGTCCATTGTATTCACCAGCTACAGAATTATATAGGCCACACAATCACAGTACAACTCATAGGAAGAGACACGTGTTCAAACGCTTCTACAGTCCCAAACTCTATTCAGTCTAGAAGAGGGGCATAGTATGGAGTCCAGAGCTCTTGATTTAAGGGGAAAGGATTCAGGAGCTGGGGGAGGGGAGAAGATGCCCTCTCCTCTCCTCTCCTCTCCTCTCCTCTCCTCTCCCATCAGAAACTTTCCATCACTATGCTATATATTATAAAAAGGCTCCAGTTTGGGACTGATTCCATTTTATAGCTATATAGATTACCTGGATGGGGAAAGAAACCACTATCCCAGTGATGGTGAACCTCTGAGAGACCAAGTGCCCCAACTGCAACCCAAAACCCGCTTATTTATCGCAAAGTGCCAATGCTGCAATAAAACCGGAAAACTGAGGTTTTCATTTAGAAAAAACAACTCACAGCCAGTCCAAGCAAATATATCCTTGGCAGTGCACTGACCGGCCATGCGAAAGCTCGGACAAGTCGAGGCTAATGAGTCACGGCTTGTGATGTCGTCGCCTGGCGCAGCTACTCCTTTCTGAGCATGCACATGGCCCCTATGTGTGCTGTTCTGCAGACACCAGTGCCAATACAAATGCAGTTCTTTATCTTCGTGGCAAAATTACTGGTAGCCAGGACTGCACCGCTGGCCTTCAGTGCAACCGTAACTATGCTACATCCCGTCCTATGAACTTTGATGGTGATAACTTAAATAAATAAATACATGTCTGCTCAGAAGTAAGCCATCCCATTGTATTCAGTGAGGCTTATTCTAGGCCAATGCACTTTCCTGGGAGTTAGCTGCACTGAATACAATGCAGCCTGCATCTCCGTAGCATCGTTTGGCTTGGTCCCTTACCTCATGATCATCTCCCGCTCCTCTCACTGAACTTTGGAGCCAGAAAAGTTTGGACAGTTTCTGTGGTTACACTGAACAGCCTTAGGAGCCCAGCACAAGAGTAGGTACCCTCCCTAAATCTTGCTTCACCCCAAAACTTGGAGCTGGGGGACGAAAGCAACGAGTTTGTTGATGAGAGGTTGCTGAAGCAATGCCTCCACTGGAATCCTCGCTTGTCTCTCCTGGCCTGGAAAAAAGGCTGACTTTGTCCTTGAAGAGGCACACTCAGAGCAGCGCTGCGCCCACGTTGAAGTGAGGCCACTGCCCATTCCCCCCTGAAGTGCAGTCACTATCCGTACCCCAACTCCACACATGGTTGGTGCTTGCCTGAGTGGCACACCATCCACCATCTGCTCCCAACACACCTTCTAACATACTTTTAGATTGGGGCTTCTCTTTGCAGTGCTTGGAGCACATTTACCATTCCCCATCCAAATAGCCAGCTCCAGCTTCTTCTCTACCTTGGGAGATGCAGTGGTGTGCAAGAAGGATCTTGCCCTCAATTGCATTTTGCTTTAAAACCCTCTAAAGAGCAACATAACTGAGGGAATGTGTCTGGCCTCTTACCTGTCTGCAAGTTGAAGGAGAGGGGAAGGTTCACTTGCGGGAAAAAAAAGGGACATGCATTTGGTAGGCATGTCACGAGTGAAGCCGAGGGCTGGGGCTGGGGTTCAGACTAGATAGCCTGGGAGGACCCTTCTGACTCACACTGTTTCTGTGTTTTTATGTTTGGCACCTTTGCCAGAAAACTGTGGATCATTTTTCCTAGTAAGGTGATCCTTGCATCTTTTTATTACTATGGGAAACCTGCTAAGAAAAAATAATGGAATGGCTGCACAATGTATTTCAGTAGATAGTGCAATTAGAAGATCCTTCGTCCGTCCGTTCTTTTGTTCATTCATTCATTCATTCATTCACGTTTTTATAGATGGTTCTATCAGCCCATGTTCTCAGAACTGTTTAAAATTTTTCTTTGTTGCTAACTTATGTTTCCACGTGGACACAGAGCTGTTCTGTTGACTACGAACTCTGATATTTGGTATCCCATCCATGCCTTGCCAATGTTTTGTGCCAATAAAAACCAAGTTTGGTTCTACTATCAAATCACCGCTCTTAGTTAACACCCAAAAGTATCCTACATCATTCTCCTCCTCAGGCTCTCAACCTTATTCCCACAATAACAACCCTGTGAGATAGGTTGAGATAAGAGTCCGTGACTGGGCCGAAGTCACCCAGTTGGCTCCATGGCCCAGTGGGGGCTAGAACCTTGATAGCCTGAGTCCCAGTCCCGTGCTCTTAACCACTTACACCACTGAGCTATGTTGGCAAGTACCTAAGTGTATGTGGGAAGCTAAGAATACTTTGCTCGCTCTAAGCGCAGCAGGTTGTTTCAATGAAATGCTGCAATATTAAATTAAAAATGCAATCTTAGAAACACAGGACAAGATTAAGTAATGGGTTTCCTTCTTTGAGAGAGAGTGAAAAATCTTGTCCCCATATATCATACCAAAGATCTCTGTCCTCATCACTTCCATTAACACTGAATTCAGGTGTACATTCCCTGGGTAGGAGAACTATGT